GGCCCACCAGGACCCTGTCAATCAGGTGGGCCTCCAAGGCTGGCTCCCAACATTTCAGGACCTCTGGATCTGTCTTCATAGCTGTCTTTTGGCAGCTCAGGTGACCACTGCAATAAGCATTTTCCTTTTAGTGTAAAGAAGCCTGATCCTTTTATGCAGTTATGACTCATTTTACCCACTTTCCCTGCAGTTGCACCAAATGGACTTAGATTCTGAGCCCTAGAAGAGCAATTGGGATTGCTGCAGTGCAAGAGCATCCTCTTTTACCCCAAAACACCTATGTTTTGGGAAGCATCCCTATCTGTTCTCCACACGGATGCCAGAGGAGCCTTCCCAAAAAAGGAAGTTGGAGCTCTGGCTTGTGGTATCTGCTACTCTCAGGCCCTAACCCTTTCTATGCTGGGGCCCCATCTCCCAGCAGGATGGCCTGGAAGTCTAGCTCTGAGGTCAAGATTTCCCAGAGATTTACTAAATGTAAATGAATTTATTAATTATTTTACCATCACACATAGGACTTTTTGTCACTCTTAAAAGCCTGGATGTGAAACAGATTCCTGGACTGGTGGTTCATATCCATCAGCTTGTTCAACTTTAACACCTATCTCATCCCCAGTAGCTTTTCCAGAACTACTACTGTCACCATGCAGCTACATGAGTTTTCCCAATTCAAACTTGGGCTTCTTCAGCATTTTAACTTTTTTTTTTTTTTTTTTTTTTTTTGAGTTGAAGTCTCACTCTGTCGCCCAGACTGGAGTGCGTTGGCCGCTCCCGGCCAACGCAGTCTTGACCTGCCAGGCTCTGGCGATCCTTCCGCCTCAGCCTTTCAAGTAGCTGGAATTGCAGGCACGCGCTACCACGCCCAGCTAATTTTTTTGATTTATTGTAGAGATGAGGTCTCGCCAAGTTGCCCAGGCAGGTCTCGAACCCGCGGGCTCAGGCAATTCACTCACCTCGGCCTCCCAAAGCACTGGGATTACAAGCTGAGCCACTGAGCCCGGCCCATTCTTACTTTTCTAACAAAGACATTATGAAGAGGATAAATATATTGGCAGACCTTTTCTATGTCTTTTCCAATACTATCCAGAATCAAGACCATTTCCTTTTTATTTTTATTTTTAATTTTTTTTGAGTTGGAGTCTCACTCTGTTGCCCAGATTGGAGTGCAGTGGCACGCTCCCGGCTACCGCAGCCTCGACCTGCTGGGCTCCAGCGATCCTTCTGCCTCAGCCTTCCAAGTAGCTGGAACTACAGGCGCACACCAGCACACCTGGCTAATTTTTTGATTTATTGTGGAGATAAGGTCTCGCCAATTTGCCCGGGCGGGTCTCGAATCCTCGGACTCAGGCAATCCACTCACCTCAGCCTCCCAAAGCGTGGGATTACAGGCTGAGCCACCAAACCCGACTTAATTTTTTGATTTATTGTAGAGATGAGGACTTGCCAAGTTGCCTACGCTGTTTTCTAACCTGTGGGCTCAAGCAATCCCCTCACCTCGGCCTTCCAAAATGCTGAGATTACAGGCTTTAGCCACTGCACCTGGCCAGTCTGCCATTTTTTGACCATGGAGAACATTTTGCCCCAGGTTAGGTCCATGCCATGGAAGTTAGGCAGTTTTTGCCCTTGAACATCTTCAGTGATCAACATGAATTTTATAAATGCAGCTTCCTCATTCTGCAGATCGGCAAGACTCAACTTCAAACACACAATCCTTGAGCTCATCGGATGCAGTTTTGGTTCCTTACATCCTGGTGATCAACGTTTTGCCAATATTTTTTATATTGAACATAGCAGCTGCTTTCGCATCATACCAATCTTTCTTAGAAAATGGACCAACCAGGCTGGGCACGATGGCTCACGCCTATAATCCCAGCAGTTTGGGAAGCCGAGGTGAGAGGATTGCCTGAGCCCACAGGTTCGAGACGAGTCTAGGCAACTTGGCAAGACCTTATCTATATAATAAATAAAAAAATTAGCCGGGCATGGTGGTACATGCCTGTAGTCCCAGCTACTTGGAAGGCTGAGACAGAAGTATCGCCTGAGTCCAGAAGGTTGAGGCTGTGGTGGCTGTGAGCATGCCACTGCACTCCAGTCTGGGTGACAGAGTGAGACTCTGACTCAAAAAGAAAAAAGAAATCAACTGGCCAGGCACAGTGGCTCAAGCCTGTATTCCCAGCACTTTGGGAGCTCAAGGTGAGAGGATTGCCTGAGTACAGGAGATCGAGACCAGCCTGGACAACTGGATGAGACCTTGTCTCTACAATAACTTTTTTTTTTTTTTTTTTTAAGTTAGCCAAGTAGGGCTCAGTGGCTCAGCCTATAATCTCGCGCCTTTGGGAGGCTGAGGTGAGTGGATTGCCTGAGCCGGCGGGTTTGAAACCTGCCTGGGCAGTGAGACTTCATCTCTACAATAAATCAAAAAATCAGCTGGGCGTGGTAGTGCATGCCTGTAATTCTG